TCTCCATTCAGAGGGCTCCAGATTTCGTAAATCCACCCCTGTCTCTAGTCACTAGGACGCCAACCCCCAAAAGCAGGCATTAGCATGAAGGGTCTGGCCTAAGGCCCCAGACTGGCAGCTCATTCCACCCAGCTGAGATACGAACCCAGGAATCCCTGTTCCTGTTTGCAGGACGGGTGACTTACTAGCTAGCCAGCTGCTTTACTGTAGTTCTGTAAATTACGAATATTTTGCCAAACGATTCATTCATTTTTCAATTAATCCATTCATAATCTCGATAGAGCTGAATGACAGATGAAAACGTCTTATTTTTAATCTTAAATGCAAAATATTTACAGATTTTTTTTAACAATTTTGATATAATTGTTGCTCTAAGTGGGTCGCTTTGTCAGCTAAAGGCATATTTTAGAGTCTCTGTTCTCCAGTTAACGATCAATCAATAACGATAAATTGCTTCAGCCCTAGTTTACCGTCTTAAAAAGTGAAAATGTGGTGAGAAAAGCAGGTTATGCTACCATCTGGATTATAAATCCTTAAAGTCATTCAGATGTTTTCTGCCACGTTTCATCATTTATAATCTGAATGTAAATTCCCCAAGCATGCCTCCTCCTCTGCCATATCTGCTATTTTAATGTAACTGGGTCCGGACTCTCTGTGCTGCCTTCAGGTACATCATGACCAGCGGCAGGACGATGGACTCCACCAAAGACTTCTTCTCACAGCACCAGTACTTTGGGTTAGGCAAAGACAATGTGGTGTTCTTCCAGCAGGGCATGCTGCCCGCCATGGACTATGGTGGGAAGATCATCCTGGAGAACAAGGGGAAGCTGTCCATGGCACCTGGTGGGTTCATGGATCATTAGGACTCCCTTCTTATTATTGTATCTGTGTGTTTGCTTCACACCTTCCTGTGTGTTCAGATGGAAACGGAGGTCTGTACCGAGCTCTTGGGAACCAGGGCATCCTGGATGACATGCAGCGGAGGGGCGTCGAGTTCATTCACGTCTACTGCGTCGACAACATCCTGGTCAAAGTGGCCGATCCCACCTTTATTGGGTTCTGTGTGCAGAAGGGAGCCGACTGCGGAGCCAAGGTAGACCAATGTCATTGATCCTGAGTCCTTTTCCCATTTTTCTCATCATAAAACCACAAACATGGATGTTTTTTCACCAGACTTTCAATTCAATTTCAATTCAGTTCAATTTATTTCTATAGCACCAATTCAAACTTTACAGTTCAACCAAATCATCCAGTCAAATTGATTCAAAGTTTTCTATCGAAGGAAAACCAGTTGATTGCATCGACTCATTAACTCGAAGGCAATCTCACACTAAGCATGCTTGTAGCGACAGTGGAGAGGAAAAACTCTCTTTTAACAGGAAGAAACCTCCAGCAGAACCAGGCTCAGTGTGAGCGGCCATCTGCCGAGGCCGACTGGGGTTCAAGGAGACAGAAGCAGACATAGAAAAAGAAGCAGAGATAAGAAAAAAAGCAGTTTTCATGTTATTATTGCTAGTTCTTTAAAACAGTATAGAAATAAAAATCTCTTTAGCTAAAAATGTGTTTTTTTCATTTTCAGATTCTAAAATCCATGTTGACTTTTATTTTGTCTTCGTTATCTGACACAAAGTCAAAAGATTCAAGGGGGGTGAATACTTTTCCTCTGGCCTCTATATAAATGATTTCTAAAACACATTTATGAGACCAAACTACCACTTTTAAAAGGCATTGAACATTATAAAGTTTATAGGTTCCACCCAGTATGTTATAGACCTGAGTAAAGGATCTACTAGAGGTTAAAGTCCTCACCCTGATCAGAGCTCCTCTCTAAAGGCCCCTCAGCTAATGAACCGCCTGGAGCACCTGAGCAGGCAGGGATTCAGGCTTTTCTTCTTTACGTTCATATTCAAATGAAAAAAATGCTGCAGAACTCGTATTTACTCCTCAAAAACCTCTTCTTTTTGATGAATGAGAAATTCCTCTGAAATGATGGAGGTTGGAGATGCAGAAGCTGAATCCGACGTCTCCAGTCAAACCAGATGCGTCGGCTGTTTGATGTTTTGTTTCACATTTCTGCTGCCAGAGAGTAGCCTCACTTTATGACACACTTTATTAAAAGCAAACTTCCTGCTGCTGAGGCAGCAGCCGGGCTGGTTTTGTCCTCTCATAAACTTTCTTTATCTCAATCATTCATTAGATAAGAATGTATTAGTAACGATGTGAAGACGCATGAGCTCTGCGGTGATAAATGATCAATCGGATTAATAAGCCGCGTGTTGGACGTGACGGATGAGTGAAGCATGTGAGCAGTCGAGTCCGGTCTGTCTGTCCGGTTCTTCCAGGAAGTTCCACCGGCTCTTCAGGTCTTTCTGCTGTTATTAAAGGTATGGCGTTCACAGAGTCGCAGCCGCTGCAGCTCTCCACTAGGTGGAGCTGCTATGAAGGTAGATTTGTGTCTTTATCATTCAGTAACAAAAAAGTTTGCTTCAATCAAAGTATTTGAATGCAAAAATATATTTGAGACTCAAAAAAAAAAAATACATTTGAACACTACTTTTCTTTGATTGAAAATGTTTTATTTGATAGAAGTCCAGTCTTTTTAGTTTAAAGCAACTTTTTAAGTTTTTTATTGGACCATATAATGGGTAGCACATGTGTGCTCTTCTTCTTTATTCTTTATTTATCTTTATTATTCAATCAAAAAAAGTAGTTGCTTCATAAAAAACAAACAAAACCAATAAAAAAATTTACTTCAATGAAAAGATAAAAGTTTTTAATAATAGAAAATAGTTTTTGAATGCAAATAAAAATATTTGAGACTCCAAAAATTGCATTTAAGCACTTTTTTTATTATTGAAAATAATGTTTGAAGTAATATCTAGTGTTCAAATGTATTTTTTTGAGTCTCAAATATATTTTTGCATTCAAATATTTTTTTCTTTGATTGAAAAGTTTTTGTTTTTTTGACTAAATGATAAAGAAACAAATCTACCTTCATAAGCTGCTTTCCTCTTTTCCTCTGAATCAGGATTTCTGTTGCTACTTTCTAAGCATTGGGCTCCATTAAAGGAGCAGTTCTAATAAAACACCATACAGACATAATCTAACTTTCTGGCTTCCCTTTAAGGCCAGAAATCATTTTATCAGTAAAGTATTTGAAAAAAAATCCAGCCTTTAGTTTGATTATATTTATAGTGGGTGTAGAAAGATCCGGTGTTGGAGATAAAAGCTGTAGACTGGCCGTCTGCTGGAACCACAGCTGCCAACCTTTTCTCCAGTTTTATGTTTTTACAGTGAAGCCTTTGAGGTTTATCTTTTTGATTCTTCCCCCACTAAGAAAACTTTTTCCAGCAAAGACTCTCTAGATTTTTACGTCTAATCTCTTGGTTTTTTTACAAAGTACATAATGACACCTTCTCCAACAGCTCCTCAGTCCCATATCATGACAGATCCTTCGCCATGCTCAACATGGAGCAGTTTCCTATGAATGAATCCTTTGTTTTAGGTCAGTGTGATGGTGTAAAACGGCAAATGTTGACATTTATGATGCCAGAATAAATTCAAATATTTCTGGCATGCCTCCCACACACCCGGTTGTCATGGAGACACGGTGATACAGTTGGCTACAATTTCCTAGCAATGACCTTTGAAGACATTCTGTCTGTTTTTCTTTTTTCTCCTCAGGTTTTTTTAAGTCTATTTTTGATACATTAAAACCTATTTCAAGTTTTGTTGCATAGCTTTGAAGGGTGGATCAGTCAGATCTTCCCCTGGAAACCATTGATCCCTTCATTTACTGGACTTTTATACACATATTTCTGTGCAGGGTCAGATAGTAACGCATTAATCATGAGGCAGATTTCTCCAGAGGAGTTTCCTGTTGCCAACCTTCTGCTCTAAGCTTTTTTCTCTTCTTCTTAGATGTGAGAGTCCAGCTACGTAAAGCTGAGTTTGTTCTTCCTCTTTTAGTCTTTGACCTTTCAGCCTTGATGATTTCTTCCCCTAAAATCTGTTTTTAATAGAAAAGTCCAGCCACACCCGATCGACCCATTTGATTAGGATTAGATAGACACCCTCTGTTAGGGTGGAGGAGGAAAGCAAAGGAGCCTTTTAATGAATTAATGCTCAGAGTAGCAAACTTCTCTAAATATATTCATTGTTTTCCAACAGAAACGTTCTCCTGTAACCTGGTGTTTGACCCTGGAAGCCGTTTTACCCTGAGGGACACCCGATGGGTTGTTTTTTAAGCTTTGACTCACAACATTTATAACTACATGCAGAGAAACTGTTTGAGTCCTTCATGTTTAAGACTTTGGAAAGAAAATAAAAAAGATTAATGGAGGAAAAGACAACTTTCTTGTTGCTGTTGCCATGAAATTAACTTTGTTGGGACATAGGCAGCAAATCTCCTGATTGGGTAATACCAAATGACGCTTGGTAACCACATCACAAGCTCCATGTCAACATCCCATCCTTTAGTTTTCTATCTTATGATGGTTTTGTTTCCACTCTTTCAACATCAGCAGTCGCTGCTTTTCCTCTGGTCCTGCAGACTCTTTCCATGCCGTAGCAATCATCAGTTCGGCCCAGCTCACTCATGTTTACACGCGCCCAATGATCCTGCTCAGTTTGGTCTCAAAGTGCAGCAGAGGAGGAAGGGTCGTCTCTGCCGGGGCGAATTACTGAGGGCCGCAAACTTTTTATGTGGTTTCAGTCCCTCCCCGCCCCATTCAGCAACCCCCTCATCATGACTCAGCTCTGTCATTAGCAGCTAACCTAAGGAGAGTGTGTGGGGGGGGGTGTTCTGCCTTCATTTAGAGCAGATGGATGCTGAAGAAGGAGATTAGTGGACTAAAGTTTTACAGTTCTAACTCAGCTGTTTTGTTGATTTTATTTTTACGTGATTTTACTACTTTTTCAACAAGTTTTTCACATTCTTGTGTCACGTCGGCCTTAGACATCGGTGCAATAAACCGACCCAAAGAAACACATCATCACCAAGAAATCTCAAGCATCCCGTGTAACTGATGGTTTTATCTTTTCCTCTTTGCAAAAAGGGGTCAAGCTCAGACTGGTTGGAGAAAATGATGGATTTGCTTCAGATTCTCCCCTGGATGTAGGTCTGGCCTTTGACTAGGCCATTCTAACAACGGCAGTGTAGCTCTGGCAACATGTTTAGGGCAGGAACCTCTACTTTACCTGCTCAGTTTCTCTATCCCTGCTGAGAAAAAGCATCCCAGCAGCATCATACTGCCACTACCATGTTAAACCAAGAGGATTATTAGCATTGTTTTCCAGGTAATGTGCAGCGGTAGAGTTTCGTTACACATGTGTGGTTGTGTGTTTGTGAAATCCAGACTAAACGTTTTAAAAAGTGCATAACTAGAATCTTTTTCAAATTTGAAGCTTAATTTAAATAAATTGACGGATTAAAGCTGCTTTTTTTCTTTTAGGCAAATAAAGTTGTCTTCCTGTTTTCAGGTGGTGGAGAAAACCAACCCGACCGAGGCAGTGGGTGTGGTCTGTAAGGTGGACGGACTTTATCAGGTGGTGGAGTACAGCGAGATCACCCTGGCGACGGCCGAGAAGCGCAGCTCGGACGGCCGCCTGATGTTCAATGCCGGAAACGTGGCCAACCACTTCTTCAGCTTCTCCTTCCTGCGAGACGTCGTTCAGTAAGCGTTCCGCTGCCCTTCCCCTCCGCACACCAAGTACAGGACCTTAATCCTGCGTATTCGTTTACTAGGAAGTACGAGCCTCAGCTGCAGCACCATGTCGCCCAGAAGAAGATCCCGTGTGTGAACGCTGAGGGTCAGCTCATCAAACCGGAGAAACCTAACGGGATTAAAATGGAGAAGTTTGTCTTCGACATCTTCCAGTTTGCAAAGTGAGTAACACTTCAGTTTGTTCTTATTCTGCATTATTGGGGCAGTTAACAGTAACATGTGCTTGTTTTAAAATAAAGAAGTAATGGGGACTATGTATGCTCTCGCTGAGAGTATCACCAAAGCCCCCCCCTTTTATTTTTTCCAGTCCCCAACCATATACTTCACCCTCAGCTGTGACATTTCTCCAAAGTCTGATCCAGCAAACCAGGACTGCCAAGATCTCTGAAGGAGGATGGAGGTTTACGAGCCGTTTGCTCATTCCTCCTCCTCAAACGTTGCATGACATCATTCCACTGCTAATCAACATTTACATTTAATTACAGGACTGCAGAGATGATTGAACTGATGGAAATGAACACCAGGCAAACACGATGTGTTTGAAATTAAAAACAGACGAGAAATGATTGTTTTGCCGCTTTGTTGACGGATCAGAGTCGTGTCTGGCCTGGCAGCCCGACGGTTTTAGCACAATCCAGATGGGTTGAGTCGCTGAGCTGCCACATTTCTAAAAATGTCCTCTGAGTTATGGTTCTTCTCAGATCCTCGCAGTTTGACGTGCCGCTCTCTTCAATGTCCTTTGTATTTTAGCACTTTGAGCCTTTGATGTCCACGTGTATTCATCACACCATAAAATGATGCATAAACATCAGATTTGTGGTTGTTTTTTCCATGATGATGTTCATGAAAGCTGCGTGTCTGAAGGACTGGATCAGAAAGTTCAAAATCAAAGGGATTTTGGAAGATTTGGTGAAGAAAATCATGACTTTGAGGCGCTCAAACATCTTTTTCTGCTCATCTGCTACATTTTAAACTCTTCCATTTGTTTCCTGGTCCAAAAACTCAAAAGTATTGAGAACCATCCACCTTATTACGTCACAATAACCTAAATGGGTTTGGGGAGGACTTATTTCTCCCCTCTTCCTCGCAGAGTTAGGAAAGTCGAAATGTTCCGAAAAAAGTCGAACAGTCAATTAAAAGTTCACTTTCAGAGGATGTCTGATTACAAACGTCGTCAAACAGCAGGCAGTCGGGCTGATGTCATTATTCATGTCCACTGTGGCCCTAATAATTCATCGTAATTCTTAGTATAAAAATAGGAAGATGATGGAAAAGGGGCTTGAAACTGCAGCAAAAAAGATGCAGTCAGAGCTACAGTTGAAGGCTTCAGAATAAAGGGTTAATAGGCTGTTAAGAAGGCTAAATGTTGGCAATAATACAAGTGTTTTACTTTACTTATGTTGGCCTAAGCTTTTTTCTTTACAGAGAAAATTGGAAATGATTCACAGGTTAAAATAGGTTGCTAACTATTGTACTTTTAATGACATGAATGTGCAAGTTTTTTTTTTTTTTTTTTTTTAAGGATGATCCAAGAAAAAAATTTACCACTTAGTTTCTTTTTAAATCCTCTATTCTGATGAATGAAACATTATGTTGCCCAAACGTTTCTCAAAAAGAAGTTTAGCCTATAGTTCATATCAAAGCATAGTCATGTGTTAAAGAGTCCTAGTCAAAGTTCAAACCTAATTTAAACTGGGATTCATGGTAATTCAATTGCATCTCAAGGCCTTTTTTTTACTGAGACAGTTCAACCAGATCATACAGTCAGATTGGTTTTAAAGTACGAGCTTTGAACCAGCTCCCATGTCAGAGGATGAAGGAAAGCACATCCAGTTAGTCACAGTCAGAGAAACAGGACTACACTGGAAAACAGGCCGATCTCCAGCATCTAGAAACAAAGGTGTTGATGGCAGCAGCACAGCTGATATTTCTCTCCAGGATGGAGTCACAGCCAATCAGGAACAGACCAAATAAAGCTACTAAGATGAGAAAAAGTAGAGAGAGCATTAGGTGATTGAACTAACAAATTCTGCGGAGTGGGAGTGTAGAGATAGAATGATGAAAAGGGGTCCTTATGTCCTCCAGCAGTTTAAGCCTATAGCAGCATAACTATAGAGATAGCTCAGGATAACCTATAAGCTTTATAAGACCATAAAGATTGCCGTCACATTCTGTGTCCAGTCTGACTCTGCTTGAGCTTGATTGTTTTTATGGAGAAAGGAGAAGAAAGGGGAATAAACATAACATCTTTTTTTTTTTGTTCACTTGCCTGAATGAGACTGTGGCTGCAACATGGAAAGGTTTATGTTCTAGGGGTATGAATACTTTTGCAATAAATGAATGCTCATATCCTTTACTTCAATATGAGATGTGCCTTATTAGTTTCACTGTCTCAGAAATCTCACTAACCACGCCAACGTGCTAAAACAAAGGTGTTTTTGAGCAGGAAGTCAGTATTTGAGCTAAGATTTACAAAAAATGATTCCTTCATTTGACCTTAGAGCTGTAAAATAAACTACATCGCAGTCTCTTCCTGTGGTCTTTGCATGCTGACGAGATGTCGTCCCAACAGGACGTTCGTCGTGTACGAAGTGCTGCGGGAGGACGAGTTCTCCCCGCTGAAGAATGCAGACACTCAGGACGGGAAGGACACTCCCACCACCGCCAGACACGCCCTCATGTCCCTGCACCACCGTTGGGTCCTCAACGCCGGGGGCCACTTCATCGACGAGAACGGCAGGCGCGTGCCCGCCATTCCCAGGTAAGGAGCCACAGAGCGCAGAGATCAGCATGAGCACCGAAGCGGGTTCCTCCGGGTCGCCCCCACTGCTCCACACGGTGTGACTGGATGTGCTGGCCTGGATGGGGTGTTTTTGTGACATCATGTTTTTTTAGCTTCACACTCTCACCTCCTCTTCTCCTCTGCTCGGTGTTGCACCTGTGTGTCCCACACAATGTTTCCAGAGACGGAGCAGGAGGCACAGATGATAAGTAATTATTCCCCTGTTGTACTCGGTGCATGGTGACGGGGTTTCGGCTTCTCTTATCCTCTCGCTCAGAATTGTTAACACTTTTAGTTTGTTTGTTTTTCAAACTCTGAATATCAGCTTAAATCATTTCCAATGAGAGAAAAGTAAGCAAAAGGTTTGTCTACTTTTTCTCTCAGTTCCTAACAAAAGTAATCACACCTAATAAACTTTTCCACATTTTGTTAAATAAAAAACACAATGTAGAACATAATTATAAAGTAAAGGGTAGAAGATATACAATTTTAAATTGTTTTAAAAAAAATTATGAAAGCAAATTCAATTCAGTTCAATTCAGTTTATTTCTTTAGTGCCAATTCACATCACGTCATCTCAAGGCACTTTACAGTTCAACCAGATCATCCAGTCAGATTGATTCAAAGTTTTCTACCTAAGGAAAACTAGTTGATTGCATCGACTCACTGACTTGAAGACAATCCCTCACACTAAGCATGCTTGTAGCGACAGTGGAGAGGAAAAACTCCCTTTTAACAGGAAGAAACCTCCAGCAGAACCAGGCTCAGTGTGAGCGGCCATCTGCTGGGGCCGACTGGGGTTCAAGGAGACAGAAGCAGAGACACAAAAGGAAGCTGTAAAAGGCGGCCCCGCCCAGGAAACACACAGCCAGGCAGACGAGCTCCGAGCCAGCTTCCATGTCGGAGGATGAAGAGAGCACATCCAGTTAGTTACAGTCAGAGAAACAGGACTACACTGGAAAACAGGCCGATCTCCAACATCTATAAACAAAGGTGTTGATGGCAGCAGCACAGCTGATATTTCTCTCCAGGATGGAGTCACAGCCAAACAGGAACAGACCAGATGAAGCTACTATGAGAAAAAGCAGAGAGAGCAGAATGTTAGAGATTGAACTAACAGATTCTGCAGAGTGGGAGAATAGAGAGAGAATGATGAAATAGGGGTCCATATGTCTTCCAGCAGTCTAAGCAAATGCTTTTTTTAAGTTTAAACCTCTTAAACTTGATAGCTCTGACCTTCAGACGGGAGCTAATCAGTCTAGATTTTTTCAAACAAACATTAGCTTGTAGTAAAGAACAATAAAAAAACTGCATTTTTTGGATAAATCTCAGCAGATTTACAGGCAGAAAACTTTGGGTCAGTTTGAAGTATTTTGGCTATAAAAAAATAATCTAAGCTTTAAAGACCTTGGAGTTCATTCCACATATATAGCAGAAATTCACCGATACGTGGCTCTATACCTCAGTTAGTGCAGAGGGCCATTGTTCCTCTGGGGGAGCTGCAGAGCTGCAGAATCCAGCGGACCTTTCAGGAGGAGACTCAAGAAGAACGAAAGTGACTCTAGAAAAACGGTGCAAATACGCGGTTAGTGGAAGACAGTGGCAGCATCATGCTGTGAGCTTTTTCTTTAGTTTTCTCTTTGTTTTGTTGTAAAACCAGTGAGATCTTTGTTCCACATCATGTGCTACTTTATTTGGAGTTTATTACATAAACTCCAAATAAAATATCATGCTGTTTGAGGCAATATTAGTGCACAATTTGGGGAAAAAAGTTTTAAAGGGTGTGAATACTTTTAAAGGGGCTGAATCGGTTGTGATAAAGGATTATTTAAGTTAAATAACATTCAGAAAGTTAGTCATAATGATTCCATGTCTCATACCCGTGTGTACGCACAGGGCGTACGCTCATATTGCATGCTGGGTAATGGGAACCACTTGTTTTCTTTGTCAAACTTTCAGACTCTGAACCTGTCCGTTTGAGCTTTTTCTTCTCAACATCATTACAGGTTTAACTTTGTTTTGACTCTTAAAATTCACCTGCCTGCTCAGACATAAAGTACAAGCATGTGGCTCTGCGACGTACCACAGAGCGGTGAATGTGTCTTAGCTTCTCCTTTTAGTCGCTCACCTTCTCCTGCAGCTGAACATCTGTCTCTCCAGATGTGGGATCTCTGATTGTCGGGGATTAGGATCCAGAAACAGGCATGATGAGTGAGGGTTATGTGAAGAGTCCCCGGGTTTTCAGAAGCTCTGGGTGGAGACATTACCAGTCATTCATCTGCTTGCTTCTGGAGGACGTGTGTTACGGGTCAGAGGACTAATCACTGGTTGCCATGAAGCTCTGATTATCTACCTTTGATCTCTAATCACAAGCCTCGGTAGAGGACCAGCTGTTTCTCTTTTCTAAACAACCGTCCCTCTGTGTTTTTCATGAGATGGTCCCTGATTCTCTTTCTGCTTTTCTTCTCATCCTCTCCCTCCCTATTGACGCAGCCTGAAGGATGGAACGGACCTGCCGATCAAATGTGAGATCTCCCCGTTGGTGTCCTACGCAGGGGAGGTAAGGCCAGGAACTTTTAAGAGAAATTCAGGATGTCCCGGCGTCCCTTTTGATGACAGTTTTGCTCCTTCAGGGTCTGGAGGCGTTGGTGAAGGGACGGGAGTTTCAGGCGACGCTGATGATCGACGAGCGCGGGGTCCACGAGCTGGTGAAGAACGGAGTTTAACCAGCCAGCGGAGCCGCAGGAGAACAACCCAAAGAACTTCTTCTGCTTTCTGTTTTTCTCAAGCCGTTTGTGGAGAAAAACTGTGCAATAACCAACGTCTCCCTTAAAACTTAATGAGACTGTTAGAAGTGAACGAGCCCAATGAAGTACGCAGTTTTCCCCTTTAGCTCTTTTAGTTTCTATGTTGATGTCCTGCTTTGTTTGTTTCATAGAGCACTTGAACACGTGTTGAATTATGAATGAAATTCTCGCTGACTGGACGATGCATTCAGCAAGTGCATCTATTTATGTTCCTTATGAGACTTATTTTTATATGTCCTGATGGATGCTGTTTAGATGGAGATTACCGTCTAAAATTGAACTTGTAATTTTTATACAAGAGTAAACAAAGATGAAGTAATTGGTATGCATGCTATCAGGATGCATGGATCGGGATGTGGGGGGTATTTATGATATCTGCTTCTGTTGGTGATGTAATCTTCACAGATTAGATAGAGACAAAGATTTCTATCTTCTTTTACAAAATAAATTTCCTACTTGGAAACCAAACTTTTTGTCTTGATCTTTTTATAGTTTTAATTAGTTATTGTACAAAAATGCATTATTTGTGTTTAATGGCTGCAGTTTGTTCCTTGCAGTTTAGTCGGTTTCTAAAGCTCAGTACATTTTAAAGATCCTCCATCGATGCCAATGCTGCAGAAACTAAACCATATTCTAACATAAATCTTTATCTCTGCCAGAATTAATTTTTGAACTGCAGGTGCAGAGGTGCTTTAATAATTATACAATTGTAGTTTACTCTGTTCTGTTGATATTTTGTGCTAAAATTATCCGATTAGTGCAGGAATGTATGAGGGGAAAATAGAATAATAGTCTTTTATTTTCATTTACCGTGACCACACTGATGCTCTACTGTTCTAATAACTCATCCAAAATACTTAGGTTATCTGGAGCTCTTTTCTACATTTGTGCTGCTATAGACTTAGACCGCCGGAGGACATAGGGAGCCCTTTTCATCATTCCATCTCTATTCTCCTGTTCTGCAGTATTTTTTGTTCAATCTTCCTGTTATGCTCCCTGTGATTTTTCTCAGGAGCTCTAGGAGCTTCATCTGGTCTGTTCCTGTTTGGCTGTGACTCCATCCTGGAGAGAAATATCAGCTGTGCTGCTGCCATCAACACCTTTGTTTATAGATGCTGGAGCTTGGCCTGTTTTTCAGTGTAGTCCTGTTTCTCCAACTGTGACTAAACTCTCTTTCATCCTCTGACATGGGTGTTAGGTTTATTCAATGATGATTATAAAATTAATGTGTGTACATATAAACATTGAAGCAAGGAGATACTTCACTCTGTCTTATGATTCAGTCAGAAGACCACCCTGCCTTGTGATTCAGTTGGTGGAGCATCCTGTCTTATGACCTGATCAATTGTTCTGTCAGAACAATACTGTTTTGTAACCATGTGTTATGTTCTGTTAACAAAAGACGACTGCAGGGGGGGGGTCGGGGAAAGAGTTGAAAGTTGGGTTAGGCTCTTTCCACTCCTGCAGGAGATGTTGTTGAAAATCCCTTACTGTGTATTCAGTCCTTATTTTACAAACCTACATTTTTGAACCTAACAATGGGAGCTGGCTCAGAGCTCATCTGTAAGGCTGTATGTTTCCTCGATGGGGCTGCTTGTGGAGATGGTTTACCGTAAACTTTTGTATCTCTGCTTCTTTTTCTATATCTGCTTCTGTCTCAATGAAACTCAGTCGGCCTCAGCAGATGGCCGCTCACACGGAGCCTGGTTCTGCTGGGGGTTTCTTCATGTTAAAAGGGATTTTTTCCTCTCCACTGTCGCTACAAGCATGCTTAGTGTGAGAGATTGCTGAAGTCAGTGTAGAGATTTAAATTTCCAAGAGGAGGTGAAAAGGTAAATCAGAAATTATTTTAAGAAAGAAGTATAAATTTTTTTAAACAGTGTTTCATTGATCTGTATTAACCTGCATTTAAGGCATCAAACCAAATCTGCTTTGGTTTATAACAACTTCTCTTCTACCAGCTTTACTCCTCCAACAAGGTTTGAGTCTGTTTGTCTTTGTAAAATACCTCAAGCTCCATCAAACTGAATGAAAAGGATTCTCTGAGCATCAAATGTCAGTTCTTGCAATTTGGTCCTGGAGTCCTTTTTTTTATTTTTAGGTTGTCTTTTTTTGCTGGACAGTTAATTTCCATCCCAGTCTCAGGTCTTCTAATAACTTCCAGTATTTTTATCCATATTCCCCTCAACTCTAACCTGTTCCCCTGTGTTATGTCCCTGGCTGGGTCTAAGAGATATAAGGGACCAACATAAATTTAAACAGCTAATCAAGGAGTCAAAAGGGCATTTAAAGAGGGTTGTTCTTCCAGCTTTTTCAAAGGTATTCTGTATAAAGTGTGATAAAAACTTTAAGGAGGGCGCAGGCAAAAATAACAAACAAAACAACCCTAAAAGAAAAGTTGATTTGCCTATCAGACTAAAACCAAAATATACAACCCTGCAAAATAACCTACCAGAAAGCAAATAAACAGGAAAAAACTGCGGTTAAACAAAAAAGCAACGATCCACTACAAAAAAACATCTGAATAGATTTAAAAAGGGGTTTACTTGAGTGTAACGCCCTGCCTCCCATACCATAATGCTTCCACCACCGTAGCTTGTGTATTAGGCTTTATTTTATTTCCTGCTGTTTTGTTTTTTTGTGGCACCTTTATGCTTGTACTTTTTAGCTTCCTGTTTTTAATGTTTTATCTGCCTGTACAGTGTCCTTGGGTGTTTTGATAAGGCGCTTTCAAATAAAATGTATTATTATTATTATTATTATTATTATTAGATCCGTATAGCTTCTCCACTCCAGGAAAACTCAGATCCTTCAGAGTTAAAGCAACCAGAGATGTTCGCTAGAGAAGCAGACTCTGATTTGTGGCTCCTCCTCCACCAACCACCATGGCTCTTCTACCATCTGTTTAATATTTCTCACACACACTCCTTTGTGCTTTGACTGACTTCATAACCTTCACATTTTTTATCAACCAGCATCACATGGAAGATGTCTGATGTTTGTAGAAAGGTTATTTCTTTTCTTCCTCATCAGGTCTGACTGAATGTTTTGATATTTTCATTTAAACGAAGAATAATTTAAAGTTTTAAGTTAGTTAACATTGCTGGTATAATGAGACACTGGCATAAAAGGTGTTTTTGGGATGTCCCATTTCTGTAGCTGGTAAAACTCTTTGTAAGACAGAAATAAACTCATTCATATCCTTTTGTCTTTATAAATCTCTACCACCTAAGTCACTTCAGCCTAATTGGGATTTATCATCATAAACTGGTTTTGCAAGTCAATAAAACCAAAGAATCCCACAATATATTCCGCATCAGATGGAAACTTTTATCCAAACATATCAGGAGAAAATAAGAAGCTTTAAAATGTGACTAAAGTACCTCTGCCTCTTTGCATTGACTCGCTTTTCTCTCTGAATTTGTCAAACAGAAATCCAAACCTGTTTTTTTATGACTGCTGTGATTAAAGCTCACATGCTTCTTTACTTTAAAGCAGCTACAGTCAAAAGAAAGCCTCTTTTCAGGTGGCAGAAAGCTTTTTGATTGAGACTTGGATTCAGCCTTAATTGAAACCTTATGTGTGGAATTCTGGGACTATGGCACATTCCCAGGAATCCACAGAATGTGAGGGTTTTTTCCCTCCTCCTTCTCTCTTTCTCTCTCTCCCTCTCTCGCCTCTGCCTCTCTATTTTTTCCTTTCAGTGCAGAGGCGTCTTACATCAGCCGAGTGAGTCCTGCTGAAGGCGACTGACAACTGGACGGTGGAGGACTGAGGCATCCAGCCGTCTCACTCCTACTGGAATAAACTAAACGGATCTTTGAGCAAATGCTCTGAAGACCAAAGAAGACAAAGTAAGTGATCTAACCTTGCTGGTTTTAAGATGTTTTTCTTTTCCCTGTTAGAAAATTCACACATTTCATCTGCTTTCGTAAAGCTTTGTGACATCTTTTACATTTTTTTGGTATGTTTTTAGTTTTGTTTGCCTGATTTGTCTGTAACTTTTCAGCATGGTAGATGCAGAGTAGAGCGATACGTTGCCAGACTGAACTTCATCTGCTCCAGATATCTTCTACAGAAGCCGTTGCATACAGTTTCACTTTGTTATGGTTGTCTCAAATGTGATTTATGCACCTTCCCCATTTTGGCCTCCCTCCTTATTTTTCTCCTGAAGAAACAAATGTTCTCGCGGGCGCAGGCATCATCAGATCTGAATTCATTTTTATTTTGGAAAAAACATGAAAGTGTTTTTCTCTTTTCTGAAGAATGACACTATAAAAAAACCCCACTTTGTGTCTCAAATTAAATCAAAACATCTGAAGCTTGGAAATATTTCTGCTTCTTGCTTTTTTTGTATTTTTTTGTGAATTGTTGCAGAACAGCTACAATAATAACTCATTGTGATTTTCCTAAGGTTTCGTAGTTTTGGGTTAAATGTTGCTGCAAACCTTCCAGCATTTTGTTGCAGGTTCTGCAGGGTTTTTTGTGTGTAGATGCTCCATGCTGCAGGTATGTGGCTAGGCTGCTGTGGAATGTGGCCAACAGACATCTGCACAGAGGACTCTTCTCTGCTTGGCTGAAGAGTAGAGGATATGAACTCTGACCCGTGTCGCTTAGTTAGCTGGAGAGTCAACAGCGGCCTCTGATCAATGGAAATATTGTTACAGGAAGGTTGAGCTGAAGAGTTTCTCCTGCTGCCTGTGAGCATCAGACTCTACAGGAAACACTATGGATGCAGAATTCACCTCAAAGACGTGCAGCTTTTAAACATTTAGTGCTTTTTTTCTAGTTGACTAATCTATTAAAGTTATGTCTCTAGTTGAAGATCTAGGCAGGATATTTTGTCTTTGATAATTAGCTGTAAGACTGATTTATTGCTGGACTTGGACTAGGCCGTTCTGGTATATTAGTATGTTTTCCTGCTGGCAGGTAAACCTCCATCCCTGTCATGTCTTCTGCAGCTGCAAACAGGTTTTTCTCCAGAGTTCCTCTGGATTAAGTTGTGTCTATCTTCCTATAAACTACTTGCATCCTGTCTGTCCCTGCAGCAAAGCGATGGGACTATGACGTTTGTCTGTTTGTCTGTCAAACTATCATCTTTCCATGTTTGGATATCAGATTGAACTCTCTCCTGTAGGACGATTTTGTTTTAAGGAAATGGAATTAAAGGGCCTTCCAACTGTTTTTTTCCTCTTAAATGGGGAAAACGATTTACCATCGCAATTCCTGTAACATTTTGCACTGTTTTGCATCTATCTATCACGTTTAATCCCATTTGCTCACTCAGTTTCTGGCTGTGTTGTGAGTAAATGTGAAAAAGATGAATGAACTACAAATCCTTTTACTAATCATTATACCCGACGGTTTTCACACATACTTACAGGTGAAATCATGAGAAAATATTACATAAAAGTCGAAAAATACACACATAAAAGCTACAAATTAATCAGCCTTTAATCTGTTTCTGATTGAAAGATTTCTGATCAGGTGCAAAAGTTGTAGCCTGACGTAGTCCTACTCAATTCTAGTCAGAATATGAGTCTGATACTGCTCCATAGAGCTGTGATTATGGGGCGTGTTTCGAAGGAACCAGGAAAAAAAATGCCTCTGCACTCAATTGCATAGACCTACAACCAATGAGAGCAACGGAGTGCGTGACGTATGTTAAGCGACGCATAGTTGTTGTCAACAAAAATCAAAGCGTGCAGTTGCACGCCTAGAATAAGAAGATGAGCCTTGATCGCGTTTCTCTGTTCCTCTTTTAAAATTAAATTGCTGTCGATATCTTCTAGAACAGACCTAATAGCAGAATCTACTCACCTCAACTCTCCAGCGGCAGCCATTGTTGTTGTCACCCAAGCGCGCTTTGGTCACGTGGTTGATTACGTTACTCTTGATCATCTGTCCATCATCGTATAAAGCCCGCCCTGACAATTTGACTGGATCGCCAGAGAGTGGGCGAGCATACTCGCGCTACTATGGAGCAGAGCCAGACCGAACTTCCCGACCTCAAACGTTGTGGGCGGGACTAAGTTCGGAATGGCACCCAGGCTACAAACGTTGTACCACAGCTTGAGATACCGTGTTCCTGTTCCACTTTCTTCTATTTATTTAGATATTTAACAAAATAAAAAGATGAAAAATATATTCCAGAGTAAATATTTCACCTAAAAAATGTTTAAAAAAAGGGAAAGTATCATCAGACATGGGAGCTGGCTTGAAGCTTGTCTGCCTGGACGGGGCCGCCTGTGGAACTGATGGACAGTTGCCTTTTGTATCTATGCTTCTTTTTCTGTCTGCTTCTGTCTCTTTGAACCCCAGTCGGCCTCGGCAGATGGCCGCTCACACTGAGCCTGGTTCTGATGGAGGTTTCTTGCTGTTAAAAGGGAGTTTTTCCTCTCCACTGTGGCTACAAGCATGCTTAGTGTGAGGGATTGCCTGCAAGTCAATGAGTCAATGCAATCAACTTAGATAGAAAACTTTGAATCAATCTGACTGTATGATCTGGTTGAATTGTAAAGTGCCTTGAGATGACTTGTGTTGTGAATTTTTGCTATAGAAATAAACTGAATTGAAACTGAAATACTTTAGTTCAGGATAAACGTGCTTCTGTATTTTACCTGACTGAATTGAGAATTGCTTCACCCTGTGTATAGTTTTGCTGTGTCTTCATGACGACAAAAAAAATACAAAAGTAAGTTAGAGGATTTTTGCTCATGGGAGAGGAGAGGATGAGGGAAGGTTAGTTTATCAACACAGAAACCAAACTGATGGGTAGAAGTTAGAGAAACGACGTGGTTTGATGGTGTTGTCGTCATGTGTCTGTTATTTCAACCCCTCCCTCCACAGCCCCATGCCTGACTGACATCCTCTCATATAAGCCCTAATCATACACAGCGAAGGCTGCAATTCCACCCCCACATTCAAAACGCCGCACCGCAGCTCGGCTGTAACTTAACTCTGACGTTTGTCTGATTGAGAGCGTTTTCCAATCAATGCTTCTGGAAACAGTAAACCAGCTGTTCCCTGGCTTGTAATTTGGTATAAATAGTGACATTTTAGAAACATGGAGCCTAAAATACTGCAGTGTTTTTCTTTGCACTTTGACCTTAGCTGGACCTGGTCATAATCACACACCTCTGAGATGGATGGGGTTACATGTAGCCTACATGAAGAGGGGTTTGTCCTACTATTTCAGGATCGCAATAGTAGGACTTGACTCTCTTTGTTTTAAAGTTTAGTTTAAAACATAGGGAGACAATTGGCTCTGGTTTCTCTAGATGTTTCATTTCTTCCTGTAGTTACTTTCCTCATATATTAGAGGAATCGGTTTAATCTCTGCTTTCAAAAACAATGAGACTAAACATAAAAACAGTTATAAAAACAAATGAAAAAGAAGTTGTAATCCAAGTCCCCTGTTCCTCACTGTAGCTGGTGGTCGTGTCTTTTGTTTGCAAATGTGGTCTTAGTGTTTCTTTCCCTATTTCATTCTCTCTGTCCTGTTTACACTTGGCAGAATCTTTTGGTTTGTCTGTTTAAAACTGGCTCCTCCACATCACTGTCTCTGTTTGTTTTCTCTTGATTATGGGCTGTCTAAAGTCATTTAAACACTCATATTTTACAGCCATAAGCAAGAGATTTGATTTAAGAGCCCAGCATATGTGAATCTTCTGTTTCACCTGCCATTATGAGCCTGCTGAGTGGGTTTTTATCCTGATTATATGTTGCTTGAACTGTTATCTGGATTTATCCTGCTTGTACTGAGCTGTACTTCTCTCTGCCTTTAGAGCTGCTTCGATTGTCTGTTGTGCAGTTTGAAAAATATGCTGGAAACCTTCCTCTGCAATCAGCAGCAGCTGCAGATCCGTTTGCTTCACATCCATGATGGAAATCTCCCATTCAGATGCATCCCAGGGGTGTTAAACTAAGACATGGTGACTGTGGAGGCCATCAGAGTGAAGTGGATCCCTTTGGCATGTTCACAGAATCAGTTGGAGGTTATTATGACAGGGTGAATCATCCTGCAGACAGTAAACCTGATGAAGCACCACCAAAATACAATGATATTCTGATCATCTTAATGCTTTTGCTGAAACTGAGGGACTTTCCTCCACTGAGCTCAGTTTACTCGATATAATGTGGCGGTTAGAGACAGGCTCCCATTGGCCTCATCAGCTCATGACTAGCCTCACCTCCACATAAAGCCGTCTATCAACAATTATTCAACATTAAAATTGCCTTTTGTATCTCTGCTTCTGTCTCCTTGAACCCCAGTCGGCCTCAGCAGATGGCCGCTCACACTGAGCCTGGTTCTGCTGGAGGTTTCTTCCT